GGGTGATCAGTCTAAAAAAGCTGAAGAGAACTTATCTGTTAAGTAGATGTAAAAATGTCTTCAATATTAACAAAACTAGAAAGCATTGACTCTAATCACTTTTCCTTATCCTATCTAATAAAGAGGGAACATGCTAATTGAGCCTCACACCATCACAAAGATGGCAGTGCTCACAGCCAATAAGGAGAGGGGATGCTAACTGACTGCCCTGACCTCAAAGATGGAAGCACCCACAATCAGTATGGAGGGAATATGCTAATTGATTGTCACACCCTATATATATCTCAAGTTTAATAAAATCACAAATGTGAAAGCTTGTAAACTACTTAGAGAAAATAAAAATCTCAATATCATAGAATTTCATTTCAGAAATATTAATCATGCTTTATATCTGTTGTATCCAGAATATACATTTCATCATATATCTATATTATCAGGTACCTGCCCTAGTAAGGACAGAGGCCTATTTGCTGAATGACCAATTCGCTAAATTATTTTCTTTAACTGCAGCTTTTTATCAAGAATCATTAGTTCAGCTCCACTAAATGTAAATTTCATTCTTTTTATGTTTCAGAAACCAAGCACTTTTTGAATTCTTAACATTTAATATGCAAAAGTTTAGGGCTTTCTGTAGACGTACTTTACCCTCTTTTTTACTTTTGCACACTATGTCCTCTTTGCTCCTATATGTAGCAATGAAACATCTGTCACAAATTATGCTAAACTATGTTCTGGGGATTTATCTCAATTTTTGCTCATTCAACAAATTTATCCAGAGCTTCTATTAAGGTAACACATTTGAAATAGGATAGTAAATAAGTCAAAACTAGATGTATGCTTCCCCAAGGCAACACAGGATCCCTGCAATTTTAGGACCCTCAGCTGCATACTCTACCTATGTAGGCTTGTCCCTTTGCTATTTTGGAGTCATCCAGATCTTAATCACATGTCTCCTTTATGAAACTGTAGCTATCATCATTGAAAACTGATGATATAAACTGCAATGAAAATAAAATGGGCTGCTAAATTGTTACTGTTAAATAATGAATAACTAGGTTTTTATTACAGTAGTTACTATATTCTGGTTCTTTAAGATAATAACTTAATTTACTCAGCACCTATGCTATGCCAGGTACTTGGTATTAATTATCTCTAATTTTAATAAGAAACCTGCAATATAAAAATGTCCCCTTTTTATAATTTTGCAAATAGAGGCTAGGGAGTATAAACAATTTAGAATTCTGTAAAGAATTAATTACATTTTAAAAAAAGTCTATTGTGCTAATTTTAATAAAAATGCCTTTGTTTTCCTACTTTTAATTTACATCTAAAGAATTATTTATATCAGTTCCATGGCTCACATTTAAATGAAATTAAAATATATTCACCTTATATAGGGAATATATCTGAGAGATCAAGGAAGGAAATAAAACCCATCCCCACATTTACTTATGATTTATTACAATATGTACAACTTATATTTTTTATTATAAGGTTTGCTAAACTTATGAGTAGGAAATTAATTTCATAAGTAAAAGCATGTCATATTTTATGCAACATGAAATGGGTGAAATCTCTCCGTATCTTTGTTAAATTAAGATTCTGAATTTGAAGTAGATATGCATTTTTAAACAACTTTGCTACTTTAAATAGATCTTATAAATGGCAGAATGTAAACTGTCTTCTATGAGTTTTTAGGAGTCCTGGTACTTTCATAGTTACGGATGTGGTATGTTTTATTGTGACTGACAGTAAAATACGGCTATAATAAGATTTCCTGTCGCATTGCTCAGTCCTGGAATGCCTGCAGCACTTCCACTAAGTGTCAGATTAAAGTACATGACAGAGAGAAGGCCCGAATCTGCACTGTCCATGTTGACAGCAAGGGACAGGATTGTGCAGAAGTGTGGGGTAGAAGTTTGTTTTCATAACTACATAAGAAGAGATCTGAAATGCCTTAATTATGCCATCTTTTTTTTTTTTTTTTTTTACATTAGAGTTTTTCTATGAAAAAATTTCACCATGTGAGATAAGCGTTGTTTAGAGTGTTCGGTCAATTTTCAGTTGTTCAAGGACTTTTCCTTACCATTGAGAACTAGGTTTTGGTCCTGTGACTCGACATCAGGCTGACCCAACTGTGCCATCATTTATCTTGATGATACCCATCTTAAAAATTCATTTCCAGGTTTTATAAATCTAAGGCTCTCTTTCTCCTCCAAGGCCTGCATTTACTTCCAATGCCAAATCCCCTACTTGGGCCTTTCTTGTCTCCTCCTTCAGAACTTTGCTTCAAAAATTTAACTCATATGTCAGTTCCTCTCCTGTGGAGACTTTTCCGTCCCCTCAACTTGTAATTTCATTCTTAAAAATAAAACAAAATCTTTTCCCAATCCCTCTTCTTCCTCTTTCTTCCCTTCCTCTGTCAACACCTATCTATCTATCTATCTATCTATCTATCTATCTATCTATCATCATCTAAAACCCTAATATGCAAATAGACTGAACAGCAGAACAATGGAATAGCTGGTTGTTATGATGTGTGCTGACCACCGGGGAGCATGTGCAGAATATGGTGGGTATGGGCAGCAGGTGGCAGAGCGTGGAACATGGCAGGCGTCTGCCACGGCGGGATGGCAGAGCAGGTGAGTGGCGGCGCTAAACCAAGGCAGGGCACAGGTCACTGTCATTGGGGTGAGCCTCTGGAGGTGACTGAAAATCCTTTGCTCCCGTGCACTGCCCCGCTCGCATCCGCTGCCAGTGCTCAGCACTGGCCCTGATCACTCGGCGCTGTCAGCAGGTCTGAGCAGCGGCTGCCGGCCCCAATCGCCTCACAGGAGCAGGGGGAGGTGGAGAAGCCCTGAGGGGCAATCAGGGCTGGCAGCCGCCACTTCCACCCGCTGCTGGTGCTCCTCAGTGATCACTGTGATGTCAGAGGTGCAAGCGGGGCCCGGCGCCAACAGTGCCTGGAAGCAGCGGCGGTGGGAGCAAGGCTTCTGGCAGACAGTACCAGGGGCCGAAGCGGGAGGGGCTGGGTGGGACATGGAGGATGGGCTGAGACCCACCCCTATGCCCACCACAGCTTCTCACCCGCAGTTCCTTTCAAGGTGCATGAACTGGTGCACTGGGCCCTTCGTTCTAGAATAAAAGTCTAGCACTATTCCTTCATTTCTTGACATCCTATAATTGGGCTTCTATCTTTAATATCATATGGCATTCTTGAAGATAAGGACTTCCTGGCTGTTATGTCCTCCTCCTGTTAATGAGATATTTTGAATTGTTCCTTTCAATAAAAAATATTAAAAATGAATGTAAAGACTTTGAAGTCAGACATTTTTGGATTGATACTATATTCTGCCTTGGGCAAGTAATTTAAATCCTGCAAGTTTCATCTGCTTACAAATGCAAGTAAGATAATATAGCTTTCACCTATAAAGGTTATTTGAACAAGTTGATCCTTCTTACACCTTTGTACTTGTCATCACCTACTAAAAACAGTGGTTCTCAAATTTCAGTGTGCATTATTAATGGGGTATTACAAAAGGAGATGTCTACACCTTGATCTGGACTTGCCAGGTCTGTGTGTGGACTTGGTAGGTCTTAGAACAACACTGGCAATAGGTGCTCGCTACATGTGGCTACTGAGCACATGCAGTATTGAAAGTCTGAAATGAGGTGTGCTGTGAGGGTAAGATGCCCAATATGAAGACATATGAAAGGAACAATTCAAAATATCTCATTAACAATTTTTAATTGATTATATACTACAGTGATATTTTGGCTATATTAGGCTAAACAAAATTTATTTTTTACATTCATTTTACCTGTTTCTTTTTAAAAAATTATTTTTAATCCTCATGGAAGGATATTTTTCCCATTTATTTTTAGAGAGAATGGAAGAGAGTATGGGAGAGGGCCTGAGGAAGGTACCAGAAAATTTAAAATGACACATGTGCCACACATTACATTTCCACTGGACATCACTGTCCTAGAATGTGTTTTATGTATTTTGAAAACTTATCATTATTGTTGAAATTTTTAACAAGTTCTCAGATCACCTTTTGAGAAACAATATATAAAACTATAAGCTCTATAAAAGAATAACTGATGCTTTCATACACTTTATGTCCTCAGTGTTCTGAACATTGTGGGCAGTTATCTATATGGTACTAATTGAATTTAGATGCACTTTAAATTTTAAGCCATCAAAATTTATAAAAATATTTCATTAGAAGTTCTGCATTTGTTTTTTCCTCTCAGTTCCTAAATAATTACTTTTGAATTACAACTCTCAGATAAAATAAAAATTGAAACTATTTGTTCCCAAATCATAAAGATAGTTTATTTTCTAAAAGAACTGTTTTTTTCTTTTAAAAAAATATTTTTATTGATTTCAGAGATGAAGGGAGACTGAGAGAGATAGAAACATCAATGATGAGAGAGAATCATTGATCTGCTACCTCCTGCACATTGGTGATCAAGCCCACAACCCGAGCATGTGCCCTGACCAGAATCAAACCCAGGACCTTCAGTCCACAGGTCGATGCTCTATCCACTGAGCCAAACCAGCTGGGGCAGAACTGTGTTTTTTTTCCTATGGTTATTTGATTTCATGTAGAAATATTTAGATATTTAGATTCCAAAATTGTTGACTATTATTGTACTCAAATTCTTCATTTAAAACTAGTGGTTAACACTAAGCCAGAAACAAATGCTAATTTTTATAGCATAGTAATAGGGCCAGAAAAGAAAAAAAAGAGAGAGAGAGAGACATATCTGAGGAAAGAGATCTCTATTTAGGGACAAATGGGGTGAAAATGGCTGATCATCCTAGAAGTCGAGAGATAGATCATTAAAAGAGATACAATTAGAAATATGTAAGCTAATGTTAGGATGCAGAATAAAGTTGACTTTAATAACTGTCAGAAGAGAAACAGTCACAAAATTAGAAATACCTTTTAAAGATATCTTGGTAGCAATCACTGACGATTTCCCCCCCTTACCTCATTGCCACGTTGCTGCCATCAATGACGATAGGTCTCAGGTTCTCTCCATCATCGCTTACAATCTCTTGCATTGGAGAATCAGACCGCTGAGATTCCAGTGAAGACGCTTCCCGCATTATACTGTTAACTGTACTAACTGTTTGTTCAGCCTCATTTTTATTTCCAAGTTTGACAAGTTCTCCCAAAATATCATTGATTAAAGCGTCGGTACCAAGTTTGTTCAGCACAAGCTGAACCTGTTCTTCAGAATAACCTAACTTCAGTGCAAACTCCAGTTTGGTTTGGTATTCTCGCACCACATCGGGAGGTTTCTTCACTTCCTTGGATGCAGTCTGGGGCTCTTCGGGTTTCAAGTCTTGTGAGATTTCACTGCCTTTGAGGACATGAGGCTCTAAACAGGGAGACCTACATAGTCGTCTGTGAGTCTTGGTTAATAAGCATGGCTCTACTGAAATGCTACTCAATTGTTCGGACTCATGATCAGAGTTTGTGCTTTCTTCAGAGTCACCAGAGCTCGCATTCTCTTCCGACACCTCCTTTCCTTCCTTCCTGGAATTAACTCTATCCATTGTTGGTTTTTCTACCATTGACCAAGGTACAGATGTGCTGAAATGTGGGTCAGTGCTCTCCACACAAAGGTGGCCTAGGTCATGCCCCAGATGATCCTTCAAGCCCATGAAGCTGTTCCGTGTACTTGACTCCACTTTGCTGCTTTTTCTGTATTCCTGAATGCAAAGCACCCCGTATTCCTAGAGAAGAATGTAAGATATTTAGAATTTAATATGTATTTCATTTGTCTCAATATATAAGTTGAAAGAGAATTACCAAACTATAGATACTTATGTTCGTTATGGTAAGCCTATATCCTCTCATCCCTCACCACCCTTGCCAAGATAGCCTTGTTTTGCAAACCAAGTTAGAAAGGCCATGTGACCCCTCCAAGGTAACAAAGTAGTAAGTAGTGAATTGCATTTTTTACCAATTTTTGTCCGATTCTAAAACTCCTATTTTCTCACTAAATCATGCTGCTTCTCAATCACAATGGAAAAGATTTTTTTCAACCGTTAGGAAAGGCCTATGTGTGTTTCTAAAGCAACATATAGATGACTATCAAAAAGCATGTTTTAGATATGCTTTGACAGTTTATGTACATTTAAAAAAGCAACTCATAAAAATTGTAAAGAAAGAAAAACAGCCCAAACCGGTTTAGCTCAATGGATAGAGCGTCGGCTTGGGGCCTGAAGGGACCTGGGTTCGATTCCGGTCAAGGGCATGTACCCTGGTTGCGGGCATATCCCCAGTGGGGGGTGTGCAGGAGGCAGCTGATCGATGACTTTCTCTCATCCATGTTTCTAACTCTCTATCTCTCTCTCCCTTCCTCACTGTACAAAATCAATAAAATATATTTTAACAAAAAAAAAAAAGAAAAAGAAAGAAAAACACTAACTTATAATTGTAAAAGTATCATTAATTATAAAATTAATCATTTAAACAACAATCTAAAGACATTTCAAAAATGATTCCAGTACTGAGTTGAAAGAACAAAGATTCAGCAACAGCCAGTAAAAAATTAAATAATTATAAAGTCAACTGTAATCCATTTAAGACATAGTTTGCCCTGGTTATCTTATTTTGTAAACATTAAACACAGTAACAGAATATAATTTTTGATGTTATGCTGCCCTTATTTAGCGCCAGGAACACTGGAGTCTATTTCATTCCAGAAAGTGGAAAAAAGCTCTTTTAGTCTATACACATTTATAGAAAGCAGAGAAAATATTTCACATAAAATTAGCAGTAGCCCTGCCCAGTTTTCTCAATGGTTAGAGCACCAGCCTTCAGACTGAAGGGTCGTTGGCTCGATTCCTGGTCAAGGGCCCATACTTGCTTGCAGGTTCCCCAGCCTTAGTAGGGACACACGGGGGAGGTAACCAATCAATGTGTCTCACCTCAATGTTTCTCTCTCTCTCCCCCTCATTCTTTTTTCTCTCCCACTCGCTCTAGAAATCAATGGGGAAAATATCCTCGGGTGAAAAAATCAGCAAATAATTATGTATGTTGAACAAATGTTAATGTCTTCAATTTTATAGGAGGAAATGTTTCTATATCTTATCAGATAACTAATTAACCATTACCTGCATTTAATTAAAAAGTCATCTTTTCTCTTGCCTATAAAATTGCTTTTACTGTTTAAAATGCTTCTGCTGCTTTACCATTCTCCTTAGACTCTGCTGGGAGTAATTGTTACTTCTCTACCAGGAACAGGTTAGCAAAATAAAATTATTTTCTCTTGAGCTTCATTGGAAGAATTGTGTTTACTTATTAAGGCAATCCCAGTGTATATCCATGGATATTGTAAGCCAGTGGCAGCAGAATTTGAGGCTGTCATAAAACATCTATTTATATAACCTAAAAAAAGATATTGGGAAAACATTTAATTCTAAAGCTCTTGAACATCTTATTTACACTAGAAAGGAGCTATTATATAAATGTTGAAAGAAAATGCTAAGTGATTTTTCTCAGTCGCACACTGAACACATACTTCGTGAACTTATTAGTGCAAAATATTGCTACACAATGAAATAAATTATATTCAGGATGGTAAATACTAAAGAGAACATGGAAATCTTTCACCTGATGCAATACACTTAACATTCCTTCAGTGTAGAACTCCTACATACTTATACAGGAGTTTTTTCACATTTTATTTCTTGAGAAGACAGATACTTTAATATCACGGTTCTGGTAATGTAGCACTCATTAGTTTTAAAGAAACATCAAACTCTCCTGGCTCCTGAACGTACAACTGATAGAAATATTCCTTAGGAGAGTTCCATATACATGTGCACCAGGATGAGGCTGTAACCGTATCAGTTTTTTTTCCCTATTAATATGGATATTCATGAGCCAAATTATTTAGAATTAATGAAACTTTGGAACCAAATCTTTACACCGATTTATTAACTACTGTAATACACTGACACCATAATGCAAGTAACAAATCACAACAGCATCCTAATAAAAGGATATAGTTAAAAGAAAAATCTGCACTGTGACCTTCGTAGAGCTCCCACCAAAAGTATTTTAAAAAAGGAAAACCTATTGGAAGCTGGGCTGCCTGGCAACCAGAAGCTGGTTGCTAAGCTGCACTCCTTTAACATGCCATCATGAAAGCTAGCACAGTGAAAGAATAATTTGGTATGAACAAAAGCCTATAAAAGAGACTGGGACTTAAGAGCGTCTGGTTTACCCTCTGAGAACAATGCAGCTGCCAAACCAATCTGGAAGCTCCGACATCATTGTCTGTAAACCCCACAATCTGCTCTGCCTGCAGGAAGTGTAGTTAATGGGCAACATTTTTTATGTCCCCTGAAAACTTTGGGTTTCGCCTAAGTGCTGTTGTGAGATAATTCTTCAAGATCATAATTCACTGACCAAATCTCTGAATTGAACTAGAAATTATAATTTTAATTTTGAGCAGTAGTGTTTTTGTTATGGATTGTTTCAAACAAGATAAATACTTATGAAATATGCAGCCAGAGGGGGAAAATTATGTTTACAGCATAAATAAAATTCTTAATTTTTACATTTTTCAAAGAAACAAAACCAGATACTGTACTTTAAACTGAAAATTAGTCACCATAAAAAAGTACTTAAACCTTCAGTCTAATAAAAAAATACTGATTATGTAAATCTGCTAAGTAATTATATTATATTGCTATAATACAGAGAGAAAAAATGAGATTATCAGTTGTTTGCTTCTTACAATATTAAACCAGATAAAACTCATTTGCATATGTATGCATTTAATGAATACACCTTTAACTTATGATAAATAATGTGATTTATATATACTACTTAAACCAAAACACATATGTATTGATTTCAGAGAGAAAAGAAGAGGGAAAGAGAGACAGACAGAAGAGGGAAAGAGAGAGAATCATTGATTGGGTGCCTCCTGCATGCTCTACACTAGGGATCGATCCCACAATCCAAGCATATGTCCCAACCAGGAATTGAACCATGACCTCTTGGTTCATAGGTTGATGCTTAACCACTGAGCCACGCAGCCAGGTGGACAAATATGATTTTTAATATTAAGGGTAAATGTAAGCTTGATGGAACCTACTTAAAAAAGCCTTTTTATTTTGTTGCAAAATAAGTTTTTTTAAAAAAAGATTTTTGTTTTTGTTTTTTTCCCCACACTGACAGGCCTCTCTTCATTGGTTACCTCAGAGAAAGTTATTCAATATCATCTTAAACAGTTATATCATTTTTAGTACATATTAACCAATAGACTAAATATGAAATAGTACAAATAAAGTCAACTGAGTTCATTTGCCAGGCCTATAAACTGCATATATTCTCTCTGTATAATATAAATCTAAAATAATCTGATTTGTATCGAGCTGGGTGGTAAAGATTTCTGTTTTGCTTTTTTAAAACTTTAATCTTTAAAATGCTTCCTTACCCACTTGAAATTAGTAAAGGATTGCCCTAACTTAATATGGCACTTAAAAAAAAAAAAAGAATTTGGCAATATTTTAAAATCTTTCAATAAAAACTTAAATGCTAAGATTTAAAATCTGATAAAAATATTTTCATATGCTGCAGTATTTCTCAATCTAATGCAATATGTAAAAATTACAAGTAATTAAAAGAAATCTTTTAAAAATATATATTTTATTGCTTTTTTACAGAGAGGAAGAGAAAGGGATAGAGAGTTAGAAACATCGATGAGAGAGAAACATCGACCAGCTGCCTCTTGCATACCCCCTTACCGGGGATGTGCCCACAACCCATGTATTAAATACATGCCCTTGACCGGAATCGAACCTGGGACCTTTCAGTTCGCAAGCCGACGCTCTATCCACTGTGCCAAACTGGTTTCGGCTTAAAAGAAATCTTATGATAAAGGCTGGTATATGATCTTTTTGTTCAATGCCTTAAAAATGACCAATATAATTTTGAAAAAAAAATAGTGAAGACTAATAATGTCACAAAAGTGATTACATGTCAGGTAGAAAATATTTTCTCCTTAATTTCTACACCATTTATTAGACTTTTAAGTTTTGTATTTACTCAAATGCAAGCATATATAAATAATATTTAATCAACTCTGAACTAAAAAGGGTAATTTTTCTCAATTCATTAAGTAGCAACATAGAGTTTATACTCTGATAGTTATAAAAAACAATACAAGAAGTATTTTTAAGCTTTCTATCAGGAATCCATTATAACTAGCCTTTACATACTATACTCATGAACACAAGGAGTATTGGGCAAAAATATAATTGTCTGAAAACAGATTTCTATACTTATAAAGTTACAGATTCCCTTCAGAAATTGTATTGGAAATGAAACATTTTTTCTTGCTAAATGCCTAATAAGTGAAAAAAGCAAATAATACTATTTGTTGAAAATAACCTAAATTTTCATAATTTTGTAGATGATGAAGAACTATATTATTTTAATGGCCAACAAAACAAAACAAAACAAAAAAGAAAAAAACACTTTATCTTAGCAAGTTGTTGCCTTTAGTGAAATTTTTTGAAAATTCTCATTAGATGACTTGGATAATCCTAAAATCTTCTCAAATCAAATCAAATATGTTTTATATTCTAAAGAGCCTCATATTAATCAAGAATATTAAACCATAAACTTGTTAAATCAATTTATTTGTTTGTAATGTAAATTTACAAAGCCATACGGTGGGTTCTGGTTGTTATCCAAAAAGTAATACTAAGAG